ATGCACTCAGTTTGCTCATCTGTAAAATGGGGATGATAATAGCAATACCTGCCTCATAGGGTTTGTGTGAAGTCAAATTGAATTAACAACACCTACGAAGAATTTAGAACAGTGCCTGGCACATAGTACATGCTGAATGCATGGTTATTGTTCTCATCTCATTTAATTCTCATGACAATGTTATATGTTACATATGAGGTGATACTACTATAATTTCTACTTAATAGCTGAAGAACTGAGGCTCAGAGAATAAGTCCCTTCCCTGGACTATCTGAGTGTAAAACAAGGATCAGTCAACTTTTTCTGCACAGAGCCATGTGGCAAATATTGTAGGCTTTGTGGGCCATGGGGTGTCTGTTGCAACTCTGTTCTTGTAGTGTGAAAGCAGGCTTAGACACCGACGTAAGAGGAGGAGGGTGGCTGCATTCCAAGAAAACGTTATTGATGGTCGCTGAAATTTGAATTTCATGTAATTTTCGTGTATTGGGAAATCTTTTGAATTGCCCCCCCCAACGATTTGAAAGTGTAAAACCATTCTTAGCTTGTGGGCCATATAAAAACAGGCAGCAGGGGCCGGCCTGGTGGCTTAGTGGTTAAGTGCGCGCGCTCCGCTGCTGGCGGCCTGGGTTCGGATCCCGGGCGCGCACCGATGCACTGCTTCTCCGGCCATGCTGAGGCCACGTCCCACATACAGCAACTAGAAGGATGTGCAACTATGACATACAACTGTCTACTGGGGCTTTGGGGAAAAAAAGGAGGAGGATTGGCAATAGATGTTAGCTCAGAGCCGGTCTTCCTCAGCAAAAAGAGGAGGATTAGCATGGATGTTAGCTCAGGGCTGATCTTCCTCACAAAAAAAAAAAAAAAAGGCAGCAGGCCAGATTTGGCTGGTGGGCTACTGTTTCCTGATCTGTGTTCTTTTTTTTTTTCTTGCTGAGGAATATTTGCCCTGAGATAACATCTGTGCCAGTCTTCCTCTATTTTGTGTGTGGGTCGCTGCCACAGCATGGCCGCCAATGAGCGATGTAGGTCCGCACCCGGGATCCGAGTCCAGGCTGCTGAAGTGGAGCATGCCGAACTTAACAACTAGGCCACAAGGCTGGCCCCCTGATCCCTGTTCTTAAGCTTAGAAACGTGTTCATCTGTTTCTGTTTGTTGCGTTGGAGCATTTTCCTGCCATAACTTTTTACATCCTGCCAGGAGTAGAAGTCCACACGTTACATTTTCTGGTTGTTACGTTTCCTATATCTTGTTATGTCTAGAACAGTCCCCACCTTTTTTTTTCTCATAACATTGCTTTTATTTTGTTTTTTGTTTTTTTTCCTGTGGGAGACAAGGGGCCAGCAGTGTTACAGAATGTCCGACATTCTGTATTTGTCTAATTGTTTCTTTCACTGTCCTTTAAGTATCCCTCACCTGCCCCTAATTTCCATGCCTATGGTTATTGTCCTAGTTCAGGCTGCATCGTCTCTCCCCTGAATTCTCACCTTGCTTCTTCCCCAGGTTCCCCAGCTTCATCCACATTTCGTGTCACCCCTCCACGATGCCCACTGTCTGACTGAGGACAGATAGTTATTGCTTATTCCTGACTGTAGGAGGCAGCCTTCTAAGATGACCCCCAGTGATCCTCACAACCTAGAATTCATGCCCTTGTGTAATCTCCTTCCTATGAGTGTGGCTGGACCTAGTGACTTGCTTCTAATGAACAGAATACAATAGAGGCACTGTAATTTGGTTACTTCCAAAATTACGTTGCAAAAGACTGTGACTTTTGCCTTGTTCTTTCTCTTGCTGTCTGTTTTTCTCACGTTGATGAAGGCAGATGTCATTTCGTGAGCTGCCCAATCTTGGGAGGTACTGAGGGTGGCCTTCATCCAACAACCAGTGAGGAACCAGTAGTTATTTCAACTACACCCTCCATTGACATCTCGATTACAGCCTGTGAGAGACACTAAACCATGGGACCCAGCTAAGCTGCACCCCAAACCCACTGAATAGTTCCCACTGAAGAAGGAACTCTTACATTTCAGTCCCAGATACTCCATTCTGCTGGACATCATTGCCTTTCAAAACGTAGTGCAGATAAGAGGGAATCTTTGCTCTCTGGGGCTATAGAGACCCGATGGCCCACAAAGCCTAAAATATTTGCCACGTGGCTCCTTGCATAAAAAGTTGGCCAATCTTTCTTTACAGTCAGGCAGTCCAGGGAAGGACTTACCTTTGAGCCTCAGTTCTTCAGCTATTAAGTAGGAATTATAGTAGTACAGCCTCATATGTAACATATAACATTAATATTACGAGAATTAAATGAGATGAGAACAAGCCTTCCTGATCAAACCGGCTCTGAATCAGGACCACGGACAGCACCATCACCCTTTCCTGGGGATCCCCAGGAACCAGGTAAGTAGGCAGAGGGAGCGCCCCTTATTGGCAGTGATGACCACAGCTGGGGCAGAGATGGAGTTGGTCATAAACAGAACACAGAACTTGGTAGCTGGGGGAGGATCTCCAGCACAGTGGGGGAGTGAGTGGAATTGAGAAAATACCTGAGAGGCCAGGAATTCCCATGGTACCAGGATCATCCATGGAATTCACTTCCTTCATGACTGCCTGAGAGTCCCTACCATGTCTACTTGGTCTATTCCTCCCTGAGACTTACCTTCCAGTCCAGAAGAGCAAGAGCCCCTCCCACCCCAGCCTGTGCTTCCCCATCCCAGCCGCCTCCCCTATGGCACTGGAATTGTCAGGTAACCTGTCTGTTTCCCGATGAGATGTTGCTCTCCTCAAAGGCAAGGGCTAGATCTGTCATATTCACCCCTTTACTGGAAACCTGAAGGCACAGTGTACATGGTTGTTGAATGAATGACTAAATGAATGAAATTTCCTCCCCAACTTCACGGGACGAGTTGACAATTCTTCCTTCTCGGATTGACATAAGCTTCCCATCTCCCAGCCCGATGAATCCTGGGCAGACAAAGATTGATGGAGTGGCTTCTGGTGCAGACAATGATGCATGAGACAGGGCACCTGTGTGATTTGGCCAATTAACTTGCCAACTCTGGACTTTGGTGTCTTCTTCTTTAAATTGGAGAAGTGGGGCTACAAGGTCCTCCAGCTCTGTTGGTCTGTCAGTCATAGTTCCTCTTTTGCACACAGATTCTCTGTGGCTTCCCCGTATCTGTCCTTCCCATTCTTCTGCTTTTCTTTGCAGATTGGGGATCACAGGAAACAGGCAGAGCATGGGCAAGCCTTTCTGACCACAGATGCTGCAACTTTCCCAGCAGGGAGAGAGTGAGTGGCCAGGACAGGGGGCCCAGCAGGGGGATGGGGCTGCAGGCTGAGATTCCAGCTGAAAATGCAGGAAATGGTGATGGTGTGGGACTGTCTATGCATGCTCAAACCCTGCACCTTCCTTCTCCTTGATCACAGCACTGACTGTACTCTGGGTTTGGGTGATAGTTCTGGGAAGGGGATAATATGGGATGGGCAGATTCATGAAGTTGAATAGAAGAAAAGAGCCTGTAATTTTTTCTGTGTATACAAAGTCTTAAGGAAAGCATGTGCAAAGCCATAGTACTAAAGGCAGCATGCTCAGATGATAAAACTAGAGAGCAAAACTGAAAATCATTTGGCATTACAGTGAGGCTGGGGCTCTTTGGGGGCAGTGGGGTGTGGGGATAAGGAGAGGGACCAAGGGGGAGGTCCTGGGTGCTCCCAACATTCTATTTCTTGGAGGGTGTTCATTTTGTGGCAAATCACTGAGCTGTTCTTGTGTGGGCACTTCTCTGTATGCGTCTTATGTTTTCCCCCCAAAAAATTTCAAGAAAACTGACAAGTCTCTGAGGAACCACAACCTCCTAGGATTGCCACCACTTCCTCCAGCCCCCACCACACAATTAAAAATAACCTTCTGTGTATTGAGGTGCATGTCTCTTCTCTCACGAAATCCTCACCATCGCTGAAGGTGGATGACCCCCAGATTTGGCATTCCTTGCTCTGTGTCTCCTGAACACCAGGTTTCCTGGGAGCAGAGCCTGCTCGGGCAAAGGCTTGGAGGCCAGCAAACCACACCATGCTCCAGAGCAATGAGGAGAAACATGGCCCCTTGAGACACCAGCGATGAAGAAATCCATCGTGTTCTCCAGACAGCCTCAGCGAATGGGAAAGTTTCTATCCCTTTCGAAATCTGCCTCTTCCCTCCTGCACTTTCTTCCCTTCCAAAACTCATGGTGCAGAGAATCACAACCTCAGTTTCCCAGGGGTCCTGTGGGCTGGACTCCCCTCAACACCCTTAGCTGTGCTAACACACAGAATCCTCGCCTCCACCGCCAGAGTGTCCCCTCTGCCCAGTCCTCCTGAGACACAGCCTCCAACCTGGAGTGAGAGCGACACCCTACACTGCCTGTGTGTCCCCCATCGCAGCCCCCATCACAGGGAGCTCCAGCTGTCAGGACACTTGTTGTCTCCCCACTGGATGGTGACTCAGGTCTGCGTCCAGGGCTGGTATATGACCTCGTGAGCAGAGAGGGGATGGCCACCATGGTGATGCTGAGAGAGGGAGGTCAGTTGGCCTCCCTCATATCTCGTGTCCCTGAGTCCCACCCCTGGCTGGAATGACCTCCACAGACAGACTCAGGGGGTTTGGCCAGAAGCGACCAGTTTTCACTTTGCAGAAAATGATCCCTGAGGGAAAGGACATCGACAGGGAGGCAGCAGATGGGACTCAGGCCCTGCATGGGCTGTGAATTTGGGTGAGGACCTCACACTCCCTGGCCCAGGGTCCCCAGGAGTGGACGTGGTTGGTGGTTGGTTGACTCCATGGGGTGTACCGGCCCTGATACAGTCTGGGTGTGAAGTTCCTCCTCTGAGGAGGGTCACTGTTCTGACCTCACCCTCATCTTCCTGTTAACGTCTCCTCTAAATCTTGCAATTTTTAGTTCCTGAGAGAGAACCCTGAGAAAAAGCCTTTCCCAGAGAACCCGGCACAGCCAACCCCAGACATGCTACTGCTGCTGCTGCTGCTGGCCCTGCTGTGGTGGAGGGATGGGGCCGAGGGATGGAGGGAGCCGGAGGAGGATGACAAACAGAATTATCCACTGCAAATGCAGGACTCAGCGACGGTGCAGGAGGGCCTGTGTGTGTTTGTGCCCTGCTCCTTCTCCTACCCTAAGAGTGGCCGGGCTTATGTTAACTCAGCTCACGGCTACTGGTACCAGGAAGGGGCAAAACCACACCAGGATGCTCCTGTGGCCACAAACAACCCAGATCATAAAGTACAGGAGGAGACCCGGGGCCGATTCCGCCTCCTTGGGGACCCCTGGACCAATGACTGCTCCCTGGACATCAGAGATGCCAGGAGGACAGATGATGGAAAATACTTTTTTCGAGTGGAGAAAGGAAGTGTGAAATATTCTTATACAAGTAACCAGCTCTCTGTGCATGTGACGGGTAAGGTGCTGGCTCCAGGAATCACCACAGAGGAAGGACATGGGGGTCCTGGGGCAGAGCAGGGAGGGAGCTTTCCATCCTGGGAGGGGTTTGGGGGTAAAACAGGTCAGGGGTCAAAGGGAGGAGCTGGATCCAAGCCTGAGGCTTCTCTCAGGGCAGCTCCTCGGACCCTCTCTCCTGATCCCTGTGTCTCCCTCTCTCCTCACCAGCCCTGAACCATACACCGAACATCCTCATCCCACAGACCCTGGAGTCTGGCCGCCCCAGGAACCTGACCTGCTCTGTTCCCTGGGCCTGTGAGCAGGGCACGCCCCCCATCTTCTCCTGGATGTCGGCTGCCCTCACCTCCCTGGGCCCCAGGACCAACCTCTCCTCGGTGCTCACCCTCACCCCACGGCCCCAGGACCATGGCACCAACCTCACCTGTCAGGTGAAGTTCCCCACAACTGGTCTAACTGTGGAAAGGACCATCCAGCTCAACGTCAGCTGTGAGTGCTGGGCCAGGATGCCCGGATCCTGAGGGCAGTGAGGATGGGGGTGTCAGGGTCTCAGATACTGGTGGTGGGTCCCAGAATCTAGGCTGGGAGGGGGTCAGGAGGATGCCCACTTCCACCCTTCCGCCATTTATGCAGCTCCTGGGGACAAGGACCCGTGTCCACCCAGCCCTCACCACTGATGTGGGGCCACCTTGTCTTTCTGTGCCAGACTCTCCACAGAGCCTGACCGTCACTGTCTTCCCAGGAAACAGCACAGGTAGGAAGGAGCTGTGAGCATCTGTCCCCATCAGCCCCTCACTCCCCTCAGAATTCTCCACCCCCCTCGGCTCCACAAGGAGAAAGGGCAACATTCACACAGCAGAGCCCATCTCTTGAGGCTCCTTATCACCCATCTCCTGAGGAATCCTCCAGTCTCATCTTTTTATTTTCCCTAACAACTTTTTAGGTATTTTGAACAGGTAATATATTCACATGGTCTAAAATTCACAATGCACAGCAGAGTCTGTCCTCAGATGCCCAGTCCACTCCCAGGAAGTGACCAGTGTCCACAGGCTGTTCTGGGCCTTGGTTTCTTCAACTAAATGATCTTACAGGTCATTTGACGTCAGTAGTACAGACTGTCCCCATTCTTCCCCGTGACTGTGCCGTATTCCACGGCCTGGCTGGATTCTGATTTGTGTGCATCTTCTGTTAATGGAAAAATCATGGCATTTGTTTTCTTCTACAAACAGAAACACGGAAATGAATACTCTTGTGTCTCCTTTGACACGTGTGTGTGTGTCTGTGGGGTAACTTCCTAAAAGCAAAATATGGCTGCTTCCTATGCTCTTTCTAATTTTGAGAGATATGGTCAAGTTGCTCCGCACGGAGGGTGGACAAGTGTACATTCCACAAGTGAGGGGTCAAAGTGTGCGTTTCCCTGCACTTCAAATTACGTCTGCGTGTCTGTCCTCCTCATCAGGTCTCCTGCATCATTTTATTTTCTCTCCATCTCTTTGTCTCTCTGACCCTCTGTCTCTTCTTCT